CAGCTACACCCTCAACTGCTTCTTCTTACCATGTTTTGTTGACAGCAGTCTAGATTTGATATTTGTCCTGGAGCCATTTTTAACTTTAGCATCATTTTACTATCTAGGAAGTCTAGTATTTTTAAAAGTAGCAATTTTCATCTCTCTTATGCTTCATAGACCTTTTAGTTTGTATTTCTTCTTTTCCATCTTACTATAAACAACAAGTAAAAGCTATGTGATGCCTTCAGCAGTCTGTCTGGAAATGTTATTAGCTAGATCTGACAGTTCCTTGGGTACACTTTGTACTTCAACAACACTTTCACCAGTTGACCAACTAGGGCAGGTATCCAGGAAAAGTTGAGTGCTTGTTTACCTGGCCAGTGTCCTGGTCTCACAAGCACTAAGAAAGTATGCTTATCCATCAAAGAAGGGAAATGGCCAGTAAAAATGCATGAAATAAAGTGATTTCCATGGCTGGAGAAGTGGGTGAGGTGGGTATGGTTTCTGAGGTCAATACTTAAAATTCTCTGTAATACCAACTAGTTTAAACATTGTGCTTTACAATTTCCAAAGCACTTTCACATGCATTTCTATGTGACTGTGCAGTATTTCTTTTGAGACAGTCATTGTGGATTACTGAATAATTGGATATTTTGGTAGGTACTTGTTTGCATGAGTCAGAAGCCAAGTTAGAGCTGATTAACATTCTATGAAATATTCTCAATAAACGTGAACATTGGAAAACAGAAAAATTGAGCAATACGCATATACATTTAATAAATGATACCTATTTCAATTCAATACGTTGGTAATAGATTCAGTCATTCAGTGTTGTTTTCAAAGCTCTGACCTCTCACGGAGAAGGCGGCAGTATATACAGCTCTCTATAATGCAAAGCAAAATATCTTCATATACACAACAGAGAAACTAACTGAAGTTTTACTGAAGTTCACTTAAAACATGAAGGAGAAAACTCCAGAATTAAACTCATTTTCCCACCATTTTTTCTAGTTTTTCCCCAAGGTATTTGTTTAATGATTAATGGCGGAGGAGTGGGACGTTATACCCCATGCATGCTGAGGAAAAGAGCAATGCAGCTAAAATAAGCAGATGAACGAAAAGGTAAGAATCAGACCAGCCTGCAAAGCAGGCTACAGTTTCACGGGCAAAAAAAATCTAAAACATGAGGGGAAAAAAAAAAAAAGATGAGTTTAAAGAATGTAACTAAACACAGGATATGATACAGCCTACTGTACAGTGATTACAAATGAGATGATAAATGGGAGAATTGCCCATTTATTTTTTCAATGACTGTTTTAATGCACTCTGGTCAAAATGTAGTGATAAATAAAACACAAAATCTAGGAATAAAAAAGGAAGGGACATAAATTATTCTTATTTCTAAACATTGTCATTAGTTTTTAAATTGAAATTATATACAAATCATTCATGTGGTGTTTACAATGTCAGGAAAAAAATATCTTCTCTGCATCTGCTACATCACGTTCAAGTCCACTGTGTTGACATCAGAGAAATAAGACTTTGCAATGGGTGAAATTCAAACTTTTAAATCTCTAGAAAAATTAAAATTCAGATTTTGAAGTTAATTTCTTTCATTTCATAAGATGGATTTTTTTGTGTTTTTTCACATAAATGTAAGACTTCTATGGAAAGAAAAATAGTGAACAAGAAACTAGATGGTGTTCGCCTTGCTTCTCATGTAACTAGTGCCCTGCGGTAATCTGGGTGAGCTACGTCTGCACAAACACATATTTCTCCCTGAAAACAGCAAGAAAATTAGCAAGAAAATTAAACATATCTTATTTCCTGACCTCTGCTCTGTGTTGATTTACTGAAAGAGAGGGGACTTTAAGAACATAAGATATGGCCCGGCGCGGTGGCTCATGCCTGTAATCCAGCACTTTGAGAGGCTGAGGCGGATGGATTACCTGGGGTCAGGAGTTCGAGATCAGTCTGGCCAACATGGTGAAACCCCGTCGCTACTAAAAATATAAAAATTAGCCTGGCGCGGTGGCAGGTGTTTGTAATCCCAGCTACTCGGGAGGCTGAGGCAGGAGAATCACTTGAACCCGGGGGGCAGAGGTTGCAGTGAGCCGAGATCGCACCACTGCACTCCAGCCTGAGCAACAGAGTGAGACTCCATCTCAAAAACAAACCAACAAACAAAACAAGATAAAAATATAGGATCCCTTTTTCTTCCCTTACAGGACTTCCCAGCGAGGGGAAAAGGAAACAAAGGGCACACTTGCCTTGGAAGCTGCCGACGGCTTCCCCTTCTCCATCCTGGGGGACTGTTTACTTCTCTTTGATAGAGCTGTTTCTCTGTGGATTAAGTCAACATTTTGTGCTCCATCTCAGTAGTTTCCTCGGGCAGCACAGAAAGATGCTGAGTTATTGTGCTCACTAAATCATGACGCTCACACCCTGGATATTCTGTGTGAAGGCAAGAGGCACCCTGGGAGCCAGTGCAGCAGTTAGCTAACTTCTTTGGGGGTAATCACCACTTTCCAGAAGAGAATGGAAGAGAAAACATCTAACAGCCACTGAGCCACCTGTGCTCCACCCCAACCTGCTGCTAGAGTGACATTTTTTGAGGACAACAGTCGGCCACACTCCACGGTCCTGCATCTGGGAATGGATCCGGGCGTCTAGGCTGCAAGAGCCTCTGAGCCTCAGCATCCTTGCCTCATACACCTGCGATGTGCGTTCTTCCACTGACAAAAACAGATGGCGGTGTTTCAAGCCATCACCTCCAGCGGAAAGGTAGATGTGAACGCAGATGAGAAAAAGAGCCTGGAGAAAACTGCAGGAGTGAGAGGAGCCATTTGCGCTCAAAGTGAAATATGAGTGAAAACAGGTTCACACTGGAAATGTTCTGCAGATCAGTTAGTATGAAGAAGCAATAATTATAGAAGATGTATTGCAAATATTTTCAGTGCAAAAAAAAAAAAAAGAGAACGACAATACTGTTTCCTTTCTGAAACGTGTCACACTGAAAGCTACTACATATCAGGATCACCTCACTCAAACATAGACTCTCAGGATTCAACTATTTAATCTGGACTCGAGTTTTCCCCCAAAATTCTTTTCACCATCTAGCTGCACAGTACAGAGCACATGAAAACATTAAACCTACAATTACATTGATAAACCGACCTTCAGGAGGCATCCCCTATACCTTAGCTATGGAGATGAGAGTATTTTTTAATTTATTAGATTGTAAAAATCTAATAACTTACAGAATAGGAATCATGCTTAAAGTTTACTTCAATAGAAAAAGCAGAACATGGAATTGCTGGATTATATGTTAGCACCAGTGTACACATATGTCCAAACTCACCAAATTGTATACATTATGTGCAGTTTTTAATAGCAATTATACCTCCATAAAATCAGAGAAAAAAGAAAAAAGGCAGAATGTGAAGAAAAAGGGGGGAAATGAAATGACTTAAATATATTTCCTGTAAAAATTGCAGTATCTTATGACATAACCAAATATTTGCTGTGACTTAGTCTGAGGCTTTGAAATGGATAAAGGGCATGGTTAGTGCTATTCTGGTGCTAGGGTATGTTTCCTGTGAAAGGACCACCCTTCTCGGTGTGCTATCTTCCCCTGAAATGTGCTCCTGAAGTTAGATCACAGGACGAGTGGCCGTATATCAAAGTGAAGAGCGTAGTTAGTCTCCAAAATAAAAACCCTTGTAAATATCAACCAGATGATTGCTCCCAGAAAGTTCTTTCCAGGATACAGCGGCACAAGACAAAGTCGATGCAAATACCGAAGAGAGATTTGATAAGACGATGGCAGAGGACCTGAAAAGACTAGTTCCTGCTGAGGACTTTTTCTCCATTTATTCAAGAAGCACGTGTAGTTATGTTTGTAGCCAGAAATGAAGACGGTGAAGCACCCAAGCAACCTGTGAGCCCACAAATGTGTGTCTGCAATTGTAAGTATCGCACTGGAAAACTATGCCAAGATGGGCAGCATGAGGGGCTTGATTTCAGTAGATTAGTCCTGCAAGCACAGACTGCCCTCAAAAAGAGCAAAGAACTGAGGCTATACCTGGACTATGATAGATTGCTAGTAAATGATAGGAAATTCATAAATACATAGATACGGTCATGTACTGTGTAAGGATGCTTCAGTCAATGCTGAACCGTGTATAAGACAGCAATGTTTCAACCAGATTACAAAAACGTATCTTTTCTGTGTTTAGATATACAAATACTTACCATTGTGTTACAGTTGCCTACAGCATTTCTTAAGGTAACATGCCGTCCAGGTTTGTAACCTAGGAGCCATAGGCCATACCGTACAGCCAATGTGTGCAGTAGGCTATATCACCAGGTTTGCGTTAAGTCCTCTGTCATGTTCACAAAATGACTAAATCACCTAATGATGCATTTCTCAGAATGGGTCCCTGTCATTAAGTGATGCATGACTGTATTTTGCAAGTCATACACTCTCTGTTACTTTCACCACTCGTCATTTCATCTTAACAACACCAGAGGGAGAGGCGGAAGCCAAATTCACACCAACATAAATATCCACGCATCTTTTCTTACTCTCCCCACACAGTAGCCCCACGATAGATAAAACTGTTAAAACCATCCATGGTTGTTAACAACAACTATTCTACAATGGAACATGTTTTTGTTTTAATGGTCACATTGAGAGTGACTTCATCTCCTCCCCTCCCTTCCTCACTCTGATCCTTGAATGCCAAACCCATCACCCCCAGGACCAGTGCACATGCTGTTTCCTCTTGCACACGAGCACTCTCCAGGCATCTGCGAAACTCCCTCCTTCAGTTCCTCAGGTGCTGTACAAATCTCTCCTACTAGAGGCTTTTCCCAGTCACTCAGTAAAATCATACCCGCTCCTGCCCCTTGCGACACTTCCTCTTTCTCTTTACTTATTTTACTATTCTCCAAATATGTGTTACCACTTGACAGGCTATATATATTTTTGTTTGCTTGTTTGCTATTGTTCTTACCTCCTAAAATGCAAGCTCCATGAGGGATGTCCTTCCGTTCAGTGCTGGATTTCCAGTTCCTGGGCACTTTCTTCCACCTGGCAGATTCTCAGTAATTCTGTGCTGAATAATTGAATAAAGTATTTAATTCTAATGTAATTAAAACTCCACTAAACTTCATGTTTTCTATCCTCCTCCACAAACTAGGAATGTGGTCATCTTTCTAAAGCACAGTTAAGATCAGGTTTCTCAATCCCCTGCACTGGTAATGTCAAAAGCAAACAGGGACATGAGTAACTTAGGAGGCTCCCCTAGGAAGACAGAGTCTAAATTCCTTAACCTAATTTGCAAGACTTTTAATGAATTTTTAATGATCTGCCTTTTGGGTGTATCTCCAGATTGATTTCCCACTATTTAATTATCACGTGTTAAAAGCATGGATTTTGGAACTTAATTTATTAGGTTCAAGCATTGTCCTCATCACTTATTACCTGTGTGTTTATAAAATTTCTGCAGTTTTGTTTTCTCAGCGGTAAAATGAGGATGATAATAGTATCCATCTTGCAATTTGTGTTTTGAGAAACAAGTGTGTTAAAATATGTAAAGTACTTAAGGAAAAAAAAAAACCTACTAAATACATACCTAGACAGTGATCTAGCAGGTCAATTCCTAGGGATTTACCAAAGAGAAATGAAAATATCAGTTTACGAAGAGACTTGGACACATTTTCATAGCAGCTTTATCCATGATAGCCCCCAAATTGGAAAGAGCCCACATGTCCATGAATGGGAGAACAGATTTAAAAATCTGTAGTGATGCTGGCAAGGCTGTGGAGAAACAGGAACGCTTCTACACTGTTGCTAGGAATGTAAATTAGTTCAACTATTGTGCAAGACAATGTGGCGATTCCTCAAAGACCTAGAGGCAGAATACCATTTGACCCAGCAATCCCATTACTGGGTATATATCCAAAGGGATATAAATCTTCCTATCATAGAGATACATGCATGCGTATTTTCATTGTGGCACTCTTCACAATAGCCGAGACATTGAATCAGCCCAAATGCCCATCAATGATAGAATAGATAAAGTACTAAATAAATAATGTACTAAAATGTAGTACATATACACCATGGAATACTGTGCACCCATAGAAAGCAATGAGATCATGTTTCTTGCAGGGACATGGATGAAGCTGGAAGCCATTGTCCTCAGCAAACTAACACAAGAACAGAAAACCAAACAACACATGTTCTCACTTATAAGTGGGAGCTGAACAATGAGAACACGTGGACACAGGGAGGGGAACAACACACACTGGGGTCTGTTCAGGGTTGGAGGGAGGGAGAGCATCACGATAAATAGCTAATGCATGCTGGGCTTAATACCTAGGTGATGGGTTGATAGGTGCAGCAAACCACCATGGCACATGTTTACCTACGTAACAAACCTGCACGTTCTGCACATGTATCCTGGAACTTAAAATTAAATTAAATTAAATTTTTAAAATAATAATAAAAATAAAAATCTGTAGTATAGTCATACAATGGAATACTACTGAGCAATAAAAAGGAATGAACTATTGATACAGGCAACGACAGGGATGAATCTCAAAGACCTCATGCCCAGTGAAAGAAGCACCGCACAAAAGCAAACAGTGTATTGATAGAAGATTCTGGAGGAGAAAAAAATAATCATGGGAGGGGAAGAAAATCAGAGGAGTGCTTGCCCCTTAGAAAGTGGATTGAAGACTCACTGGGAAAGGCTTGAGGAACTTTCTAGGGTGGTGTTAAGTTTCTGTATCCTGGTAGAGCATTGGGTTAGAAAAGTGAGATTGTGCTGAAATTTAGAGAGTGTACACTTTCAATTTGTGCAATTCATTTCACATAAGTTTTACAGGAAAAGAATACAAGTAAATGCAAAATTTTAATTTGTGATAGGCATACTTCAATATTTAGTAGGAATTTTAATGATGTCTGCAATTTACTTTCAAATGCACTGAAAACAAATGATAATTAATTGCTGGATAGAAGGTTGGAAGAATGGATAGACATGAAAAAGTTTAGTTAAATGTTAATGGTAGCATGGAAGTGGTGAGTATATGGATTCTCACCTAAAAATTCCTTTAACTTTGCTGTATCTGAAAATTTTCATAATAAAAATTGGGAAAAATACAAAAGGAGTGTAGCAAAAATATTAATTTAGGTTATCATCATGTAAAATGATTCCACATTTACAATTGTCCATAAAAGTAAACCCGAGCCTCTTTCTTTTAGATCTTTGAGACTCAGTATTACATATTGCCTGACAATTATTGACGTATTTATCCTACACTAGCATTAACCATATTTTTCTTCATTGACTATTTTTATAGAACAAAAGTTAAATGAGCCCAGTGTTTTGCAATTAATTTTTATAGCATCATTGATTAGATTTCCCCAAATAATTTATTTCTCACTTCATACCCTAGAAGGTAATTCCATTTAATATTGTGGTGTAACATTTTAAACCAGACTGCCTCAGTGTGCCATTGAAAGATTTACGTAGGTCTGAAGCAAGAGCTATTTCTGCCTAATGATCTGTATGTAAAAGCAACAGAAATATAGAAGGTAGGAATAATCAATCTATAAAGTGTTATATATCTCCTAAGAGTTGTCTAAGTAATCAAAGATTTCCTGGTGTGGGTCATAATACATTGTAGTGACTCCAGTTAACTAAACACTTAAAATATATGTTTCTCTGGAATTTAACATCACCTCTGCACTGCTGGGATAGTAAACCATTTTGTGTGGCCCATTCAAATATACAACCTAATTATCTAATTCAGTCAGTAAATAAAATAAAGCTTTATTTTTATTTTTATTTTGCAGGCTGCAGGGCGCCAGCTAAACTCTCTGGGAAGTTGCAGGAGGCACAGATACAGCCTTAACCTTGAAGCGTCTTCCATCAGAGACATTTCAAGGTGGAGTGTGAAAACGAAGAGAAAGGCTCTGCTCTAACAGAACTTTCTGCCCAGCCATAACACAAAGATACCATGAAAAAAATAACAAAATACTGTCATAAGAAAATGTAACACAAATAAAGATACAGTACTCCAAAGTACCCAGGATGCCAATTATAACTTACCAATATAACTTCAGGTTGTTAATAAATACTTCATAGGTCTATAATTTCATAGTAATAGTTTAATATTGAATTTAGAGGAAAAAAGAAAAAATATATTTTTAAATCCTATACTCAGTAATGGCTAACATTTATTGACCCATTATTTTATTTTATAACATTTTATATAACTCATAAAACAATGCTTATATAAAAATTCACACAAAGTGACTAGAAAACATACAATTTCCAAAAATGTCCTCGGTTTTTGTTACATCCAGTTTTCCAAAAATGCACTCAAATTAATGGTAAAATGCAGACATTATGTGATATTTCATTCTTTGGTAAAACTATTCTTATTATTTTGTCTCCTCAAAAGATAAACTCTGACATCTTCTTTGTGTAGGAGCTGCTATTAACATCACCAGGAGAAAATTGTTAAAGCTGGATCTGGGAGAAGCAAGTATTTCCACATAGCAGTAATAGCTCCTTAGTCCCCACCCTCACTTCAGTACCTCCACCTGGTCCATCTACACTGCCAGGTGGGGTAAGAGCTCAATGACCTCCAAGCAGGAGGCTAGAGACCCCCTCTCCACTAAGCAAGTTGCAAACGTTTGGGGGAAAGCTGGGAATGGAGGATGTCTCTGCAGGAACCCAAGTCACCGTACTGTGGTGTGGTCAGGCCAGTGACTCTCACCATGTAGGCGGCCAACTGTTCACCACTGAGTAGATGCCAGTGGCTGGTGGATGGCTGCTGCTGGTATGATGTCCCCTCCCCATAAATTTAAACTTAAAAGACCATCTTTGATGGTCACAAGCTGTGTGACCTCTGCTCAGCCACCTTGTTCTGATCATTTCCCAAGTGAGAGCCATGACTCATATTTCAACCTCTATGATCTTTATATCCACCACCAAGGATCCTTCTGACTACCACCCTTGCATTATGAAAACTGGGCTAGAATTCCTCTTGATTCCAACTTAAAAGCTTCATATGCTGTCTATGACACATTTCTATGTACTAAATAAATAAACAGATTTCAAAACAATCTGTGCTATAGCATCGTGTAACCATCTAAGCCATAAAGTTCTATATTCAATAATTTAACAAAAATAGCTCAATTTTATCTTCAAAAATTTTCTGAATAGAGACACAAAGCAAATACATCTTTAAAACCTTTGGAAAAGAATCACATAAAAATAATTATAATCTATAATTCAGAGCTTTGTTTTTCACAAAGGTAATAAATTAAACATTCTCCTTTGAGATTTCTTTACTGTGCAAAATGAGACCGATTAGGTCAAACTGTTCTTTTTACCACTTTTTGACATGCTAGTCAGAGATATTAACATTTCCAAAGAGAAGTGGAAAATATACCAGAGTTTGAAGAAGAATTTGGGATAATTAACCTAAAAGTAGATGTTGATTATATTCTTTCCCCTTCCTTGATTATATTGTTTATCCTTCCCCAATTCCTATGAAATTTTCTCCTATAAAGCAATGGTGAGTTGAAAGAAAGGACAGCAATATGTATTCACAAATATTTTCTTTAAATTCAGTCTAATCATCCCACCAAAGAAAGAAATGGCAGGCTAGCACAAAACCAACATGCTCTCAGGAATGGGGCCTCCATGTGTTTCCTCTCCTCTCCTCTGCAACACGACTTCAGCCTCTGTACTAAGCATAAACCTGCCCTATTTCATCCTAGATCCTTCTGTGGTCACAGAGGAGTCAGAACTGGGTAGACTCTTCCTTTCGTGCCTGAATCCTCCTGACCCTTCCAAGTGTCTTTCTAATTTCAGTCCTTCAACATATTCTGCTCCTTTCTTCCTTCCTTTCTTCTGCTTGCTTGTTTGCTTTCTCTCTCTCTCCTTTCTCTCTCTCTTTTTCTTCTTTCCTTCCTTCCTTCCTTCCTCTTTCCTTCCTTCCTTTCTCTTTTTCTTTCCATCCTTCCTTCCTCTCTCTTTCCCTTCCTTCCTCTCTCTTTCCCTCCCTCCCTCCCTCTCTTTCTTTCTTTCTTCCCCTTCCTTCCTTCCTCCCTCCCTCCCTCTCTCTCTCTCTTCCCCTTCCTTCCTTCCTTCCTTCCTTCCTTCCTTCCTTCCTTCCTTTCTTTCTTTTCTTTTTTCTTTTCTTTCTTTCTGACGGAGTCTTGTTTTATCACCCAGGCTGGAGTGCAGTGGCATGATCTCAGCTCACTGCAACTTCCACCTTCTGGGCTCAGGCAATCCTCATGCCTCAGCCTCCCAAGTAGCTGGAATTACAGACACCCACTACCATGCCCGGCTAATTTTTGTATTTTTAGTAGAGACAGAGTTTACCATGTTGGCCAGACTGGTCTCAAACTCCTGGTCTCAAGTGATTTGCCTGCCTTGGCTTCCCAAAGTGCTGGGCTTACAGGCATGAGCCACCACGCTTGGCCCAATATAATCTATTTCTGCCAATTCAACATAATACACGAAATACACTTATGGACACACACACACACACACACACACACACACACACACGCCCATTACAACGTATCTTTCCAAGGCATATTATTTAAAATATTTTTTTCTCCTATTTTAATGCCAAAAATATGTTTTCTTCTCCTTTGATCCTAGGTAGCCAATTCCCTTCATAGAACTGTGCTGTTGAAAGTAGTATTTGTTGAATAGTACTCATGTTCTATAATGAGTTTAAATAATGATGGTCATTGACCATTGTTTTAGAGGTAGACCCTTACATTGAATGCGTGTTAGTCCACATGGCTTGCTTCCTTTTTTCTTTTGAGACAGGGTCTTGCTCTGTTGCCCAGGCTGGAGTGCAGTGGCACGATCATAGCTTACTGTAACCTCAACTTCCCACGCTCAAGCGAGTCTCTCATCTCAGCCTCCCAAGTAGCATGGGACTTTGCCATGCTTATTAACCCATTTCCTAGGTATTAAGTCCTGCATGCATTAGCTATCTGTCCTGATGCTCTCCCTCCCCTCACTCCCCGCCCCGGCAGGCCCCAGTGTGTGATATTTCCCTGCCAGAAATAAAGATTTAAAGAAATGTCTATGAAGAAATACTAGGTAGCCATTTAAAATAAAGATGTAGACCTGGTGCAGTGTGGCTCACCCCCCTGTAAACCCAGCACTTTGGGAGGCCAAGGCAGGTGAATCACTTCAGGTCAGCAGTTCAAGACCAGACTAGCCAACATGGTGAAAGCCCATTTCTACTGAAAATATGAAAAAAAAAAAAATTAGCCAGGCATGGTTGTGCATGCCTGTGTTCCAGCTACTCAGGAGGCTGAGGCTGAGACTGGTGAATTGCTTGAACCCAGAAGGCAGAGGTTGCAGGCAGCCAATATCATGCCACTGCACTCCCACCAGGGCGATGGAGCCAAACTCCATCTCAAAAATAAATAAAGAAATACATAAATAAAAGTTAATGTAAAATAAAGACAGATAAATATTAGCTGGCGTGGAAAGACATCTATACTATGTTGTTCAGCCAAAGGAACAGGCTAAACATAACATAATCTCAACTTTTATTAACTTAAATATAGGATTGTAAATGCATGGGAAAAGGGTCAGAAAAGAAACACCCCAAAATGTCAACATCACTTATATCTGACTCGTGAGGCAACAGGAGATATAACTTTTCTGTTTAAAAAATTCTAAAATAGTTTCTTCAGAGAACACAAGTTATTTTTATAGAGTCAAGATATCCTTTAATTGGAAAAATGTTTCACAGAAATTATTGATTTTCTGCCCCATTATCTCCCCCAGCCCCACCCTGTGCAGAAGGATTAGCGAGTTCACATGGTCACTCACATTTCGTGACCCGTCACGTCACGGGTGAGGCTGCTGTGTGTGCAGACATCACGCTTATAAATACGTGTCCTTTTTCCTTCTTCTTGCTTCTGTTCGACCAGGGATGCTTCCCAAGCCTCAGGTCTCCCTGCGCGCTCCCTATGCTGTTTCTGCTGCCTGGACCCTTTCATCCTCTCCACCCTCATGGTAGGTCAGCCTGAAACAGAGCCAGGAGACCCCAAAACTGAGTTTGGGCTCAGTGTAGTGAAGAGGATATTTGTGGCTTTAGGTCAGGCACCATTCTCCAGCCATGCTTGCTAAAGTGCTCTGCAGATTTTGCGTACAAGTACAGCTAATAATCGAATGGTATACCCAATTTATTTCTCTCCCATTGTCTCCTTATGTCTGTAACTCCCTCAGGAGTCTCCTAAGGAGAAGTCATGAGGATTTGAGGTAGAACCAGGCATTCATCAACCCCCTAAGCAAATACCACTGAATAACACTAGGATTTTGCCCCTGCCAGGGCTGGCTTCATGAGCCCTTGATCTGGGTTGTCACAAAGAGTTTCCACCTTTAGAAGGGCTCTGGGCTTGGTTCTGCTGTTGCTATCTTGAAATCCTTAAAATTTTTTGAGCAAATGGCACTGGGCCCCACAAATTATGTAGCTGGTTCTAACCCTCGCCCCAAACACTGAATTTCTTTAAAATAAAAGTGACAAAGTCAAAATTTACATATCGGGGAAAAGAACATAGGAACATTCCTTTCTTTTTGGATTACCAAGTAGTACAAATAATAGTGAGAAGAACAACTCTCTTTCCTTCCTAGAAAACCACCTGAGTCCTTACCTTTTGAACCTGACTATAGATTTGCATTTGAGAATCATTTTCAGAGAGGTGAAGTAAAAGCTCTAACTGGTCTGCACTGTTATCGAAAGAATGGAATAGAAGTTCCTAAAAAATGAAAAATTGTTGATAATCCATGATCTCAAGATTCCAGTTTTGTAAATATTTTTACTTAGACAGAGTGACGAGTGTTTGGGGGTTCTAAACTCATGCCAGGATTAAATTCACATTGTAAATAGGAGAGCAAAGCTTGTCTGATGAAGCCAATGAAGTGTTCTTGGATTTTAAACAGTCATTGATTGGCCAAGAGGTCAGCTAGTAAATCAAATTGTGACACCGTCGAATGCTACCACCATCGATTTTTTTCATGCCATTTCAGAGAAAAATAATATCACTCATCCTTCCCCAGAATTTAGTTCAGAGGTTTATGGTCATGGCCTTTCTAATCAATGTCAAATTTCCACTGGGACAAGGTTAAAAAAGCTGTCTTAATTGAAACAATAACTGGAGATCAGAATAAAATGTTTTTCTATCCACAGTCAGCATTCAGTTCTGTTTGCCTCTTTTAGTCCATTTCCCTGCCAACAAATTTATGTTAAATGCATGTAATATTCCAATCTGTTAAAAAGATTTGATATAAAGTGAAAGAATAGTGTATTATGAATAACTCTGTTGTTGACAAGCTCTAGGGACGTACTGTTCTTGTTTTAATTCTATTAAAATGGATATGGGTCCCAAATGCTAGACTCTTTCTTATATGTTTACAGCAAAATGGGTCAAAGGACCATTAATTCAGGTCCAGAACTGTCATATCTGGTCCTAGGTTCCGTACAACTAATGAGACTTCACCGGTATTTGCTCACACGGCCTGCCCAGCCCTTAGCATTCACAATTTCCATTGACAAGGTTATTGGATTCAAAATGAATGTTTACATTGAAAGGGGAAACAAGTGTCAAATATGAAGCTCAAATAAATACTCCAAGCTGGAGAAGCTTATCATGGCTTAAACCGTCTACTGTTTATTCCCCCTAATGAAAAGCAAAGACAATAGGAGACATGGGGATAAGTGTAATGAAGAGAAACAATACCAGGATTCTTAGAGGTTAATCCAGGCACAACAGAGTTAATCTGGAAGAGGGTAGGGGAGGTTTTAGGCTAAAGACTCAGACAAAAACTTGTTACTTTTGATCCAGTTGTACCCAATGAATGGCTCTATTTGCAAAGAAGATTTTGGATTTTCAAACCAGTGGGACAAAAGTTACATCCTTGATTTTTCTTGTTAAACACACTTGTGCTTGTTTCCAGAATAAATGATGTCACAGATCTTCATTTTCCTCTCAAACAACAAAACAAAAGGAGCATAACAATACAGATACTTAAGAAAGCACAGAATTTGTCCTAAGACTGAAAAGTCCCTGAGAGCCAAAATGTATTTTCAACAGATGCTACAATAATTACCTTATGAAGCAGAGAAGAAATGCTATTTTATTTTAATATCCCAAAAGTTAAAAGATGAAAACAACACAGTGGATTCATCATCACAGGTAAATATAGTGCTTGGAAATATTAATTTGTTTTAAAATTGTATATTCTGCATTATTATAACTGAAATATAAAGTCAGATCAATGAGGTTATAGGAAAATGATTAAATGTAAGTGTACGGCTTTGCTTTGCATATTTGCAAAATCTCTGCCTTGCAAAGCTAAATGTACAAACTTTCAAAATATGAGTTAATTAAATTCACTTAGGATTTTCCTAAGGTAAGAAACCAAACATAACCTGGGGCGGGGAGGCAGGATATTAAAATCAAATTAATATTTCTGAGAACTAACCATGTTATTTGAATTCAATAGCATAACTTCAAACATATCACTGAGCACACCCTTATATGAAAATCCTCATGGATTAAATCTGAGCCTCTATCACATAAATCATAAATTATGCCATGCATTACATCTGAATGAATGGAAAAGTCCCAAAACAAAATAACTAAGACCAAATAAAAGTAATATCACAGCCTTTTGGTGAATAGGTAGGTATGAAAGGGGAGAGAATGTTACTGCCAAAATGTTAAACCAGAATTGTCTTAAACACAGCAAAGTGTTTTTATGTGATTTTTCATATTTCTAAAAGACAGATTTTATTTCTAATGGCAACTTTTTAATTTTCCTTTTCTAATTTGAAATGTTAATATGAAAATGTATTATATGGAATATGAAAACAACCTTCTTACAAAAGATTATTAAATGTATCTGCCAGTTAAAAAAGCGTATCTTAATCTAAAAAGGTAACATAAAAATTATAATAAACCTTAAGTGTTATTTTGTATCTATCATTGTTATTCCTATTGTTTAAAAAACGAGTTTGAAAGCAAACAGGTGCATTTGGAAAGGAAATATGTTTATAAGAGATTCCTCTTGAATCCTATTAGTGAAGTCATATTTGATCTTATTATTTAAATTATTGTCATGTTCTAGGGTGTCATCTTTATACCAAGTAAGTTGAAATAAACACAATTTATAAAGCAATAGTTAAAAATACATTTCTCATAGATATGTTTTGTTTTATGCTTAGCTGTTATTGGGTGGTTCTGTTTTTAAAAGTAATTTGTAGTATCATATGCTCAATTTTCTCAGATTATTCAAAAGTTTCTTGGCAACAACATTCTTAAAATAAACAAATGGATTAATATGTAAAAATAAATGTTTAGATAACGTACTTAGAAGAGCTTGCCCACTGGAATATGAATAAGACCCTCAACAACTGACATTATTTCATCCAAAGAACAAAGAGAAACCAGGAAGTTGTCCGAATTTACAAGAAAAACATGTTTGCTTGTTTTTGTGTCTGTCTCCCTGCAGAGGACAGAACAAAGGTCAACAGACTTAGGTCAATGTAAGTCAAGACTTTCAGAATTATAGCTATACAACCATCAAAATGGCTGTGTTGAGGCATGGTGAGCTTCACATCACTGCAATTATTTAAGAGAAAATGGATAAACTAGATAAATTGTCTTTCTGCTAAAAGGAAAGTCTTTATGAGTTGGAAGTTGAACTAAATGACCCCAAAGGTCTCTCAGTATATTACATTCAACAAACATTATGAGTAAGCCAAAGGGGTATCATTTCAGATGTGTATACACACATTTACTCAGAATTCATGTAACTTGAGGAACCATGCTCAGATTCAGCTGCTTTTGGAAAAAAAATCGTGAGACCCATCCAGGCTAATACTAGAGGTAACTAAGTAAACATCATCTTGTAAAATGTGACATTCTGAATGTCCCTGAAAACGTTTAATCCTTTTTCCCTTCAATCATCTCTTCCTCAGCTTACAGCACGTGGGTGTAACTCAACTAATATCTCTTGTGGTGCTTCCCCACCCACCAGTGTTTGTGGAATGCCTTCTCCACCCACCAGTGTTTGTGGAATGCATATACATGAGTGGATTGCTTGGGCACATCCTGTTTCCCCAAGATTTCTGGAAAAGGTGAAGGGCAGAGAGTAGGTGAAGGGAATGGGGGAAGGGGAAGCAAAACAAACAGGTCCTGTGGAGGGAAATAAACCCCTGAGATTTTCACAGGAAAAGGAACATGCTTTAATTTGGCTTTCATACAACTAATATTCCCTCTGAGAAGCCTTTCCTTTCCCCCAGTTCTGATTGGGGACCCTGTCACGTGGTCTCCAGCCTCCTGGACTTCTTCCTCTCCTATCACCTTTGTCTCTTCTCCTATCACCTTTGTCTCTTCTCCTATCACCTTTGTCTCTTTGCTGAAAGTGACTGTCTGAGCATGTGTACTCCCTATGGAAGGTAAGATCAGTGAGCCGGGGGCTGTTTCCTGTTACAGAGCAAACACGCATCAAATGCTCACCGGGTATCCTGCATATGGTGTCTCAATGTCACATCAACTCTCTGAGGCAGCTGCTAGTTATGATGCCTCGGAGACACCTTAATACCGTGGTTAGGAGCAGGGACTTCAGAGCCAGAGGGCCTGGATTCTAACCCTTAGGCAATTACTTCATCATGCCTCCATTTTGCTGTCTGTAAATGGGTCTAAAAATGGTGCTTACTTCAAAGAGTTAATGCGTACTAAATAATTTAATAGGTATGTGGCACTTTGAGCAGTGCCAGGCACAGAATAGATGGTACAGAAATGTTAGCTGGTATTACCTTCCATTTTGCTGATAAGTAAACTGTGGCTTAGGGAAACCAAGTCACAGGTGGTGAATGGAGAAATTTTTTTTTTTTTTTTTTTTTTTTTTTTTTGAGACGGAGTCTCGCTCTGTCGCCCAGGCTGGAGTGCAGTGGCGCGATCTCGGCTCACTGCAAGCTCCACCTCCCGGGTTCACGCCATTCTCCTGCCTCAGCCTCCCGAGTAGCTGGGACTACAGGCGCCCACAACCGCGCCCGGCTAATTTTTTGTATTTTTAGTAGAGACGGGGTTTCACCGTGGTCTCGATCTCCTGACCTTGTGATCCGCCCGCCTCGGCCTCCCAAAGTGCTGGGATTACAGGCGTGAGCCACCGCGCCCGGCCTGGAGAATTTATCTTACTCTTACAGGCTATATCTACAACACTGCCTTAAACATAAAGTATAAAAATGTTCTTTATTCCAGAAACAGAGAACAACCATAGGTAATCAGTAAGTGTTATTAGAGGCAAGGAATGGTAGAAACACTTCTCCCTCAGTACAACCGCCAAGGCAAGCTGGCCAGGGAGGGACAGGTGGAAGCAATGCTGGAGGACGGCAATGTGGCAGGGCAGGGATCCACAGACCCCAGGTGTCATGACTTTGAGAAGCTTGTCTCACTTGGAAGCAGCCTGTGAGACTTTGATGGTAGGCATTAATTCCTAGCATCTGACTACTGTTTCGAATGTTAGTTTTTTCTTTCCTAAGCATAATCATTACGCTCTTTTGATTTAAAGCTCCGTCTCCAAAAGAAACAATTGCACATACGTATCAGTTAGTTAGCTGTGACACAGGAATCCTCGGGGATTTGTCATTACCCAAGGCTTTCTGTCATTTCAGATGAATTTTCCACCATGTTAGATGCCAGGGGCAGGCAACAGGTTCAATAAACATACATTTACTCAACAAATGTTTAATTGAGCAACTGCTATAGATCAGACACAATATTAGGTGTAGGCATTTATGATGCAAAGGTAGGCAAGACAAGTTACTTTTTAACTAAAATCTTTCTTTAATGGTTGGTGCAGGGGAGTGATTAATTACTTAAGGATAGAGAATATATCTAGATTCTCACCTTGTGCCATACATTAAAATTACATTTCAGATGACTAAAATAATTAAGTGTAGAAAAAAACTAATGTAAACTATAAATGAATGATTTGACTTATTGGTGGAGTAGATCTTTCCAAACCAATAAGCTCAGAAAAAAAAATTGAACATCATACAATGAGATTAACTCAAAATTGATATGTGTGTGAATCAAAATATCAAGATAATAACAAACCAGGAAAATATTTACAATAAATATGAAAAAGTCAGCAATCTGGAATCTGTCTTGCTGCTCTACACCGCACAGAGGCGTCTGGGAAGCCCAGCGTGTGGTCAGTTTATAACCAATCCCGCCACTGACTGCTATACTCCAGGGTCTGGATTAATGCTGAAGTGTTCTGATGTGTGCTTAAGTTCTAATACTGGTTTTAGACTTTTCCCCCAAATCCCTACTGCTTGGTATTGGTTTTTATACCCAGTGGAATTCTTACAATGCTCCTTCCCCAGCCTGGACCCTATCACATACCTGCAGAGAACAGCATAAACTGGTCAGTCCAACACAAACATTTGGTGGGTCACCTAGAACCATCTCTGAATTAGGGCTGACTTGGTCCCACTTTCTTGGTGACAGCAGAAGTTATGTGATTGACACTCTCCTTTGGGAATGAGCTCTGCCAGTTTTCTATCCATCCCCAGATTCTTCCCCACCGGCCTCCTGCTAAGATGCAACGAGGTCTCAGAACCTAGCCTATCTGGGAAATGACAAAAGAAAGAAATCACCTATGTTTATTTTATGTTAAACAAAAAAAAAAAATTAATTTTTTCTTTCTCAACTCACAGGGTTGTCCTAGATTTCAATTATAAAATGTGGAGTATTCAAAGGACATGAGAAACACGTGGAGTAGAAACAGGAGTTTGATATCGCCTGGTAAAGGGTAGGCATTAGGCATGTGAACACCTGCACTCAGCATTTATAAAGTGCTTACAAAAACTAGGCAGTGAGCATCATGTGACTTGGACCTCTTAGTACATTATAAAAACTTTCCTTCCTCACAATGTGATAATATTTGCTATTTTTAAAGTTGCACTGTCTTTTAAAAGTTGCCATATTAAAGAAGAAAAAAATTAGGTGTTTGTTTCCCGTTGTGTACATTGCATTCCCTCCCGAAATTCATGTCAAATCAGAAAGTTGGGAGGCTAACTGAAGTGGAAACAGGAAATAACACCAATACACTTCTAACCCACAGGTTTCCCAGCCCCATTAAAATTCAACATGTGGAGGAGGTGCTGGAGGGAACTAACAAGAGCGTCCTGTAACCCAGGAGGCCAAAGATTAGCCTCCTCCATTGATGGAACTTCCATTAAATGATGTTTATTTGTACCTAGGGTGAGGTTACTAATGGAAAGGCCTGCAGCCTGCAGTATTCAGTGTCATTTTGCAAATTTGTCAATGAATTACAAGATACATAACATCATCCTGAGTTGAGGCTGGGGGATTTTGTTACGTTTGAGGGTATGAATTTTTTTTTTTTTTTTGAAGGGCAGGATGTGAGAAGGATTGTTTTGAATATATTATTGAAACTCCAGTTCAATCGCGAGAAAAACATTAGACAATTGTTAATACAGAGACATCCTAAAAAATACTTAGCCAGTCCTCCTCAAGCTGTCAAGGGGATCGAAACAAGGAAAGTCTGAGAAACTGTCACAGCCAAGAAGAGTCCAGGGAGACGTGATGGCCAAATGTAATGTAGGATCCTGGATGAGATTCCAAAACAGAGAAAGGACATTAGGTGACAGCTAAGGAAATCTAAAGAGACTATGGAGTTTTGATTAAAACAATATATCAATATTGGTTCATTAATTGTAACAAATGTACCATGTTAATGTAAAGTGTTAGTAATAGGGAAAAATGTGAGAGGCTGAATGGGAACTCTCTATACTATCTTCTCAATTTTTTGGTATATCTACAGGTGCTCTGAAAAATACTCTTTACAAATTTAAAAAAGTATTATTGAGATTAAAGTCTGTTACTAAATCTTAAGCAAGATGAAGATAACTTCGACTGATACGTGATAATCACTATCCTTTTCAATATATTTTTTCTTTTTGTTGAGCAAAAAGAAATGTGACAACTTATATTCACATTTTTCTTTTTTATATTTACAGTCTTACGTATTTTATTCATAATTTTTTTCTTATTTTAAGAGTAATGATTTACCATTGAGGAAAATTAAGAATATACAGGTAAAAAAGGAGAAAATTAAAATCCCGTAAACACACACAAGTCAGATAGATTGAGTAGAGAAAGGGTATCTCATCTGTTTGAATACCTGAGTTTATCTTAAGAATATACAACAAACACATAGTTTATACAAACGTAATTTATAATGGCTGCATGCACTTCATTATATAATGGGCCATTCTTATTTGGCCAGGGTCTCATTTCGAGATATTAGAGTTCTTTATAATTTTTAAATTTTTTTCTAAACCCCACTCAGCTGAGCATTCTGTTCATTGTTGCATATATCTGTAATTATTTCCTTAGCATAAATACCTAGAAATGGGACTTCAGGATCAAAAGCTATGAATAATTTTAAGCTGCTTGTTAATGTTGCAAATCACCTTCCCAAATTGGTGCCATTGTATACTCCAATAAACTGCAAGTTCCCTTCAGTAATCAAATCAGCCATACAACAAAAATACTTAAAGAGACCTTTCTGTGTATCATGTTCTTGTCATAAAAAACTCAAAATATAAAATAGACTACAAAATAACTTTCAAAAGGAACTCCTACAATCTTAAAATTACAGCATTTTGCACTAAAAAAATTGGTTTCTTTCCCTTGTTGCTCTGTTATGAAATGTAAATTAACATTATTAAATATGAAATATATTAAATAATGAAGGAACAGACATTTGATGAAAGCTATACGTATTTTTTCCACTTCCCCCAATAACTGGGCTTTAATTAAAATCCATTTATAAGCATGTTTATTTTGATAAATTGGTAAATTGAAAATTGATCAATTGAACTCATTGTGTTTTATGTAAAACAGTAAATATAACATAATTATTGTAGAAGGAATTACTTTCAGCCAACAGAAGGAAGTGGGGAAGAAATGTTACTTCATTCTCTGTAAACTGGCTTCCCTGGCTTTGACCCCCACCCCAGGGCACCAGCATTTTGGGGAATGCAATGTTAGATATTACTGTGTTATCCTCTGTCCCCAGGGCTTGTGGAGATCTTTCCAGGCCCCATGTGGTCCTTGCAGGTCTAGAGGCTCAGCCGCCTCCGCATAGCCAGGGCGCAGGTTCCTGCAGGTCAAGGACCAAAGACCTCCTACTCCTAACTCTGGGAACAGCTCTTTCCTTCAGCTGGGCTCTAGGCCTGCTCTCCAAAGCCCACCAGGTGTGATCAGGGCAGTCTCATTCTGCAAATACGTACACTTCTGCAAATGAAAACCAGAGCTTGGAGGCGAAGCAGCTTCTGTTTTCTAGCTCTGAACAACTTCCTCAGGCAAAAGCTCCCAAAGCAATGGCTGCCTGCTGGAATCCTGAGTAGGGAAAACCATACATGAAAAAGAAGACACAAAATAGAGTTCAAGCCTGCCTCCCCTACCCCGCCTCCACTCCCCATACACGGAAGTGCTTGCTTGTCCTTAGTGTAGACAGTGTTATCAGCTCTCCTGAGAGGACTTCTCTGGTAATCTTAATACCAGAGGAATTGAGGAATTAGCAGATTAGGGGGAAAAGAAGTCTTAGAACAATTTAAATACAAGGAAGCTGTGTAGACAGCATGCTGGACTTGGAGTCAATTGAGTTCACAAAGTTTTATGTCAGGATCTTCACATTCCATTATGGTTGTGCTCAGGCTTTGCTGCAGACACAGTTTTAAGGCAAGGAGGTCTGCTGTGCTTTCACCTTTCTAGAGTGTCACCATGCACCTGACCTACCTCCTGGCCTTAGCTATGCAAGCTGCTCGTATTTGTGCCCTCTGTTAGCTCCGGAAGAGTATCCTGGACAGACATTGTTCCATCATGAGTGTGACGTTACTTTCTTTACTTGAAAGGTGGCAATTAACACTTGCAGAGCTGTGCTGAGGGTGGGAAATACAGTTTTGAGGGTTTCTGGAGTAATTAGTTCACTGGGAAAGCATACTTTTCTACATAAAAGGGTTCTACCCTCCCCCCACCTCACACTTAAACCGAATCCCCTTCCCCTCCCACATCCAGCCCTCTTTTGGAGCCAGAATTATCTCACCATCTCTAGACTGTGTGTGCACGTGTTTCTGTGTCTATGAGTGTGCTCAGTTTGGTTCTGTCATAGTTGTGTCCACACTCATCTTCTTTATCAGACTGGACTCTTCCAAAGCCAGGCCTTCCTCTAATATTCACTCTTTCATTCAAATGATGTCATTTTTCCTGCTGTAAAGGAGAGCCTAGGTAAGAAAGTGAACTAGACACAGGCAGCAAATATAGGCCATAGCAGGCACATAAATACATGCAGAGGATACTGATCCTCAAATCCCAAAACATAGCACAGTGCTTGGCACATACTGAATTCTGTTTGCTGAGCTAAGTTAAATAGTGGTTGTGTCTAAAATTGAATTTGGATTCTGATTCTTATCCACATCCTGCTCGTCATACACTAGGCAGCCCTTGCCCTAATATGTCAGTTTATTAACATTGTAAACAGATGATTTAGTGTAAAAAATGAACTTTATCCTAAAAAGTGATACTGTACTAAAGGCATGTGACCAAGCTTTTCTTTTCTTTTCCCTTTCCTTTCTCCTCCCTCCCTCCCTCCCTGCCTCCCTTCCTCCCTCCCTCCCTCCCTCCCTTCCTCTCTCTCTCTCTCTCTCTCTCTCTCTCTCTCTCTCTCTCTTTCTTTCACTATGTCACCTAGGCTGGAGTGCCATTCTCCTGCCTCAGCCTCCTGAGTAGTTGGGATTACAGGCGGCTGCCATGATGCCCAGATAATTTTTGTATTTTTAGTAGAGATAGGGTTTCATCATGTTGTCCAGGCTAGTCTTGAACTCCTGACCTCAAGTGATCTGCTTGCCTCAGTCTCCCAAAGTGTTGGGATTCCAGGCTTGAGCCACCATGCCTGGCCTCTTTATTTTCTATATGAGAAATTGCTCTCATGCTCCAAACAATAATTATGAGATAATAGTAGTAAAAGGAGATAATGACTGTAAAGAGATTATCTAGAAGTTAAATCTTATTTTGTGGGTGGGAACACGGAGCCTGGATAAATGAGAAGGGCCGATGATGTAAAACATCGATGTTGTCGCCTCTGTGCAACTATCATGAAGGAAATGCATCTGTCTCAAGTTCTTGGATAGTTTATGTATACCTTCATCATCTCAGCAATTACTATGTACAGATTACAAGATTTTCATATTCTGTCTTGAAGTGTATTTAGGTTACTTTAATCTCACATTCATATCCCTTCCAAGACTGTAGAGATTTTGGTGCAGGGACTTAAACTTTTACATCTCTTATATTAGTAACTTCATTGAATGTTATATGAATTAATGCAGTGAATGAATACCTTTGATCCAGATTGAGTGCTACTTCTATTTGAATTTCTTAGCTATTCTCAATTTTCTTCACTTTGATCCTATTCACCAAATTTAAGAAAACCTATCAGCTAGATCCCTTTTACTGTCAAGAATTAAAATTTTTTTTTTTTTGGACCTCAACAGAATTTTGTTAGCAAATATCTGAGCAAGGACCTATCGCATGTAAATTTAGCAAATACATATGGATGCCTATAAACAACTTGTTTTTATTTTATAAATCAAAGCACTAAATATTTTATTATTTTGTTCTTACACCATAAACAGAATCATTAACTTGACATATTTCAAAGAAAAGCATGTGAGATTGTGTAAGTAATCACTATAGAGTCGCTGAAAACTAATCATAAACACTCTTCATTTATAAAAATGGACCCTGCAATATTTTGGGAAAGTTACCTCTTCATTTTGTCAGAAATAGAAATGATTTCAAACACTTCAAAGACATCTTAAAGAGAAAAGTTTTAAGAAATCACAAATGACCATTCATAAAACAGAGTCATTGTGTCCCGATGAGAAGCCAATCATGTTTGGACAAATTTAGGAGATGACACGCTAGACCTAGCAACACCCTGAAGATCTTTTCACACATCATTTGGGATTTTTTTTTTCTTTTATTTTTGATGGATGGATGAGCAAACTTAAGGAGTTAATGGGCAGATAAAAGTTGAAATGGGAAAGGACAGTAATGGTCAGGCCAGTTAAAAGCTCTTTCCGACACCAACTCCCAGCCCTGCCTCCCCAGTCGATCCCCCTGTGAACTTTTTGTGTTTCATTCATTTTGCTGGAATTGGAAATGGAGAGGCCAAGAAAAGGCCATATCCTGCTTCATTGACTAAAGCTATCCTGTAAGCGAGTTTAATGGGTTAGAAGTTAACACCAGTGACAGTTGTAAGAAAAGTTACCAAGTGTTTCCAGGGCCTGAAGAGACTCCCTGCGGCTCAGACTTCTTTGCGCTTCCTTCCACTCTCCTTTTCTCTTATCTGTGGAAGCGTCCATGACAAACAGGGGGCATCTGTTAGGAAACAAAGCGGGGGGCTGCTAGAAGTGAGCAAATCCCCCCAACCGCAGGGCCTGGCAAAGAACGAGCTCCAATTACAGCCGATTCAGCAGTGGTGATCAGGTGAACAGATAAGTACAAGCAAAGAGACATCAAGTTTCCCTGAAATTTACAAACCATTGTTTCCCTTTATTTGTCCTCTAAGAGAGGGCCATCGTTCTCCGTGAGACGTGAGCCCTCTCAGTTACGCTCGCTTTCTCTGTGTGGCTTTTATCGTGACCGTTTCTGAACGTCGTGTTTTCGCATGGTTCCTCTCCAAGTACCTTCCAAAGCCCGGGAAGATAGTGACACAGAAGAGTGGAATTCATCCTGCCAGCTGAGCACGAGAAACGGCTTTTTCCAACACTTCCTCCAAGCATCTGCTTTGTGATATGTATTTTCTGACCCCTTTGTTCAAGTGTTGTATACAAGAGAAACACGCACAGTCGGTAAGTCCACAGCTCACTGAATTTTCACAAGCTCTCGTGTAACCAACATTCAGCCCAGGAGACTTGTGCGTTTGATTCCTAGGGCTGCTGACACAGAATCTCACCAACTGGGGGGCTACAAACAGGAATTTATTGTCTCACAGTTCTGAGGCCAGAAGTTTGAAGTCAAGGTGTTGGCTGGACTGGTTCCTTCTGGTGGACATGGCGGAGAATCTGTCCTGTGCCTCTCTCCGAGCTCTGGTGATGGCTGGCAGTGCATGCTGTTCCTTGTCTCATTGATGCATATCCGCATCTCGGCCTCCAGCTTCACTTGGCCTTCTTTCTGTGTGTCTGCGTCTCTGGGTATCCTCTCCACTGATCATATCGAATTAAACTTGATGATATCTGCCAAGATCCCATGTCCAAATGAGATCACATTTTCAGGTACTGGGGATCAGACTTCAACATATTTTTGGCAGGGGAAAGGAGGTGGAACACAATTCAATTCATAATAATGACTATTCCAGATACTCCCCCATCCTCCCTTCCAGTAAACACCCCCACCCCTAAGGGCAGCCGCTTCTGACTTCTGATAGCATACATTTCTTTTCTTTTAAGTTTATTTAAATCATGCATATTGAGTCTTTGTGCTGTAATGTGATCTTTAAGGATGGCTTTCCAAACTTTAGGAGTCACTCAGGTTCCCTGAATGGGTCTCACCATTGACATTCCTGAATAGCAATCTACTACATAAACAGCAGATAGTTTTAAAAGTCAGATAATCTATCATAAAATCCCTTATTTCAAAAGAGAAGAAAGCAAAGTTTCCTTACCGCAATACAGCAATCATTCTATGGAAGTGGTAAAACTTTAAATGAATGCATCAGATACATTCATGTCAACCTCCTGACATGCATAGCATCAGGCTGTGGACAAGAAATGTAACCGTCTGTATTTCTCAACAATGCATCCACTTTCTTATTTTAAGCCATTACTCCATGAGGACAGGAGAACCTTAATCTCAGTCAATTTTGTGTTTCTTTCACCTTTTCTTGGGAATTGTGTCTTAGCGTGGAAAGGGGACCCCAGAGAGGGTTTGTGGCTCTCTCAGGTCACCTGGCTTTGCAGGTGTCTGCCGGGATGCCTACGGGCCTCTGTGATTTTAGGCTGGCGATAGATCTGTGTGCCGTGAAATGATGCTAGTTTCTGTCCGTTGGCCTCTCAGGTCTTGTAGCTCTACTTCTGAAGACCCCGAGAATCCTCCTGTGACTTCTATGCCATTAAGAGTCCTGGAATCACTGAGGCCATTTCTTTTTTGACATCTGCCTTGGGTTTTCACCAAAAGAGCCTTTCTTGGGCTTTGCCACCTGCCCAGAACTCGCTGGGCGGCACCCTGTGGAGTCCCCTGCCTGAGCCTCTTTGACACGTCTGCTCTTATTCCAGCCCTTTGCTCTCCGGCAGTCCGCCCCGCCCAGGGAAATCTTTTTCTAGCAGAGAGGGAGGACAGCTCTATCTTACTCTATCTCAATCATTCTCCCAATCGTTTTGTCTAAGCCTCAGATCTTCTAAGTTCCTTTGAAGATGTTTTTTAACACAAGGTCATATTTTAAGCTAATAAACACACCTGGTTGAGTAACTTCGGACAAGTTAATTATTCTAATTAAAGACTATCCTCTTCGGTAAGGAAGAATTAAAAACAGTATCCACCTCACAGGATTTTTTTTTTTTTTTTTTCTGTAGAGGGGGTATAAATTAACTGAGTTGACCTGTATCAACACATAGAACTGTGCCTGGCACATACAGAGTCTCTATAGTGGAAATTATTATTATTGTTGTTATTTTGAGATGGAGTCTCGCTCTGTTGCCCAGGCTGGAATGCAGTGGTGCAAGCTCGGCTCACTGCAACCTGCGCCTCCTGTGTTCAAACAGATTCTCCTGCCTCAGCCTCCTGGGTGGCTGGGATTATAGGCACCCACCACCACACCTGGCTATTGTGTGTGTGTGTGTGTGTGTGTGTGTGTGTGTATTTTTAGTAGAGATGTGATTTCACCATGTTGGCCAGGCTGGTCTCGAACTCCTGACCTCAGGTGACCCACCTGCCTTGGCCTCTCAAAGTGCTGGGGTTACAGGCGTAAGCCATCACGCCCGGACAGTGACAGTTATTATTAATTTATTTATTAACAGCTTAAATGGACAGGGAGAGAAAAAAACAACAGGACGGGAAAAAATCACTGCATTTTCAAGTTAAGGTAACAAATCATTATTTTGGAAACTTACAAAAGTAACTGTAAATCTAAAAACAGAATGATAGAAATGAAGAAGTGCAGGGAGACGTCGAGAGTGGAACCATTAATTCAGCGGCATCTGCTCCATTAAGGTAGCTAATGGTATTGTGAGGGATTGGGAGAAACCCACACATGTGTCTCAGACAGAAGATTCCCCGCTAAGAGGTAAAAAACCAATTCATTTCAGTCAGGTTAGGTCATTAAAAAAAGATAAAGTTAAGGTAACCCATTTCACCTAAAACTGTGGAAGGAGAAACAATGATATCACGGAAACTGTAATTAACATTTCAAAAGATCACAGAATTAGCCAAGTAGAAGCCCTGGGTTGTCAACACAACCATTAGCTCTCACTGGCTGAGTAAACACAGAGGGGAAGTAGCTACTTCTAAATGTTTTTCCATTTTATCACTTTCAATGGTGTCAAATATTCTACAATGGAGACTTAAGTAGCACGTTCAGTGACACTGGTTTCACTGAACCTCAAGACGGCTTTCACGGTAAACACTTTGTTTAGAGTGCCATACACCCCGTGAGTGAAAATAAATATTACATGGAAATGACACCACCCCATAAGGTATCATGTGCCTGACATGTTGACGGTCATCTCAGCTGGAATGCCTGGCAGCCCACCTGCAGGTCTATTCTACTCTGCAAGTTACTCATAAACACATTGGAAAGCATCTTTGAAAGAAAGAATTAGCGACCAGATGTTCTTCCTCTACAGAAAAATGAACAGAGGAGGAGGCAGCAGGGAGGTAGCCAAAACGCTGTGGGAGAGATTTAAGTTATACGGGAGATACAATGAATTCATGTGTTACCAGAAAGGGGTCCTGATTCAGACCCCAAGAGATGGTTCTTGAATCTCTTGCAAGAAAGATTTTGGGGTGAGTCCATAAAGTGAAAGCAAGTTTATTAGGTAAGTAAAGGAATAAAGAACAGCCACTCTATTGGCAGAGCAGCAGCTTCAGCTAGGCAACCAATGATACTTATTGTTACTTCTTGATTATTTACTACACAAGGGGTGGATTATTCATGAGTTTTCTGGGAAAGGGGTGGACGATTCTAGGAACTGAGGGTTCCTCTTCTTTTTAGACCACATAGGATAACTTCCTGACATTGGTGTGGCATTTGTAAACTGTCATGGTGCAGGTGGGAGTGTCTTTCAGCATGCTAATGCTTTATAACTAGCATATAATAAGCTGTGAGGACGACTGTAGGTCACTCGCTTCACCATCTAGGTTGTGGTGGGTTTTGGCTGGCTTCTTTACTGCAACCTGTCTTAACAGCAAGGTCTTTACGACCAGTACCTGGTAGCAACCTCCTATCTCATTCTATGACTTAGAATGCCTGACCTCCTCGGAATGCAATCCTGTAGGTCTCAGCCTCCTTTTACCCAGCCCCTATTACCCAGCAACTCAAGATGGAGTTGCTCTGGGTCAAACGCCTCTGACACATGGACAGTAGAAGTTATTAAACACAGGCAGGTGCTAGTAAAGGCAATTATAGAATTTTATTCATAGATGCTAAACAAAATGAGAGACAAAAATCTGTGAAGATTTCTGTATACTGATGTTTCAAATTAAGATATGCAAATTAAAGTGAAAAGATTATGGTGAAATGGGTGAACTAGGTCCTCTGTTGAGATCTCTTTTTATTTCTCGGTACTACATTGATTCTACAGATGCAAATATTAAGAAAGTTATATGGTACATGGACTTATTTTAAACTTCTGCAAATCTTAGGAACTTGATTTCAAGTTCAATTATTACAGCTCCTTTCTCTGTAGGAAGTCACGATCATAAAATAACTTGGTGAATTATTATGGCCTCTAAATTTATTGCATGCCTTGTGCTATAAATCATGAATTACCTAGAAAGTGCTTTCCCAATCAATGATTTAAACAAGAAAGTGCTAGTGCACTTTGTTTTCCTTTGTTAATGTAAAATGTTTATTAAAATATAATTTAATGCAGCCATTAATATTATGTAGAATAATATTTAATGGATTGGAGGAAAGTTTATGATATATTGGTTTTTAAAAAGCAGGTTACCCACTAGCAAGTACATTTTCCTCCCTCCCTCCCTCCCTCCCTCCCTCCCTCCCTCTCTCTCTCTCTCTCTCTTTCTTTCTTTTGAGACAGAGTCTCAACCTGTCGCCCAGGCTGGAGTGCAGTGACACGATTTTGACCCACCGCAGCCTCTGCCTCCCAGGTTCAAGCAATTCTCCTGTCTCAGCCTCCTGAGTAGCTGGGAGAACAGGCGCC